TCCTTAGTTTGTATTATTAGTATAACTTGTATTATTTATTTATTCATCATTTTATTTGTATTTATTTCAAAATTTTACTTTAAAAAATATTTAATGTCTACATATTGATAATTAAATTTTTTCTAAAAAATACTATATATATAATATTTTTTAATCCGTATAATATAATGTTCTCACATCTAATGTATAAGACCCTAGTGTATAGTGCATGCACAAGTTCATAGCAAGTATGAAATTTATGATACATTTAATGATAATATCGAGACTAACGGCACAAATCTACCAATTTATCGGTGGTATTCAAAAGCAAACTGAAATTCTCGAAAACGCGATAACTCCTTTTTCGCGTTTCTCAAGCATTTCGCCGCTCTTTTTCATTTCTTACTCCGTCCAAATCAATAGCAGCACACCCTTTTTCACTCCACTCTTTCTCTCTCTACAAACAACCAAGAAGCAGCAGAAGAAGAAAGATGGGCGAAGGAAAAGGCTCATCCCTAGTTCATCTTCTAGTTATCATCTTATGCTTAGTTGCTTTTGGTTTCGCCATTGCCGCCGAACGCCGCCGTAGCACTGTACTTTCTCTTTCTCTCATCAAAATTTGAACTGTTTTTGTCGATTTCATCTGTAAGCTAGGGTTTTCTGTTCGATTCCTCTGTTCACATTGATTTTCTCATGTTTAGCGACGATTATATCTGCTGACTTGCTAAACGAGTTCGTCATTTCAATTCCATTCTTCTGCTTCCTGAGATCTAGGTTTTTGAACACTTAAGCTGCTATGAACTTGTACACAATTTTAAGTGATTTTTAGCTTGTGACTGTTCTTAGAGTTCTTCCTTTCTGTTTATGTAGTTCATTTTCAAATAATCGAAACTCATGATGATCGTGAATCGTGAACACTAGGTTATTGAATTTGTGCTTTTTATTGATGACAGGGGACCATTCGCACAGATAATGCAACCAATTCCACTTACTGCGTATATGATTCAGATGTAGCAACAGGCTATGGCGTTGGTGCCTTTCTGTTTCTTCTCTCAGGTGAATCCTTACTCATGGGAGTAACCAAATGCATGTGTTTTGGAAGGCCATTAGCACCTGGTGGAAATCGAGCTTGGACCATCATCTATTTCACATTCTCATTGTAAATCTTTCATTCTCTCAACAGATATCCGAAAGAAACAAACTTTTTTATCCCAATTCTTGAAACTTGAAACTTGAAACTAAAAAGTGTTGTGTTTTTGCATGATTTGTAGGCTGTGTTTTGTGGTTGCAGAAGCTTGTTTGATAGCAGGGGCAAAGAAGAATGCATACCATACAAAATACAAGGGCATGACAGAAAGCTTTTCATGTGATACATTAAGGAAAGGTGTTTTTGTTGCAGGAGCAGTGTTTGTGGTGGTGACAATGGTTCTGAATGTGTATTATTACATGTACTTCACTAAGGCTACAACTCAGCCTGCTCATTAAAGCAACCGATCTAGCTCAACTGTTGGAATGGCTTCTTATGCATAAGACCATGTTGGTTGAGTTTTGAGAATACTTTAAAGGTGTACATTTAGCATCATATGATTGCAATTATTTGTTGTTAGATATATGGGAATTTGGTTCTTGATCATATTATGAAAAAGATCGGTTTTTGTTTGCTTGTGATCTTTGTTTTTTGTGGGTCTTTTTTGTTGGATGAAGTTGGTTTTTACCTAATTGTTCCAATTTAGGGTTTGTTTCTTTTGGATTTAATGAGCTTAATAGGTTAAGTACTTAATCTATATGGTTATATGTGGTTGTTTCTTTTTATTTTTTTACTTAATCCAGAGATCTAGATAGAATGAGTTAATGGGTTAAGCAAAAAACGTGGCTTAATGTATCAAGACATCAATACTTCCCTTCTTCCCTTTGAATATTGTGAAATTGTTGTTAGAAGGTCAGGGTAAAATGGTCATATTAGTATCATTAATAGGGATTATTAAGGATCTCTCATTCGTATATGGGAAATTTGAATTTTAAAATAGAATAATAGATTGTTACCTCTAGACTCTTGTATTGTCAAATCACAAACTATATATTAAAACTAAGGGTGGGAATCAACTCGGTTTACGGGTTCTTCGGCTTCTTCGAATCGGTTTCTTCGGTTTGAATTTTTTTTTGGTCCAATTCGAAAACCGAACCAATTCTAATTCAAATTCTCTAGACCAAATCGAAAACTGAATTCTAATTCGGTTTGGTTTAGTTTGAAAACCAAGGGAACCAAATATTAAATTAAAAAAATTAGTGTTTGTAATTTTGTAACGCCCCGTTTCTCAGGTATTGATTTAATGTGTGAATTTCTTGATTTCAAGGGCTACTCGACGAGTTGATTGTCCTACTCGTCGAGTAGCAGCGGGTTGGTCCGCGTATTTTAATGACCTACTCGCCGAGTCCAATAAGGGACTCGACGAGTAGGAGCTGGCAGATGAAACCCTAAATCTCGGGGTTTTGCACCCTATTTAAAGGATCATTGGCCTCCCCCAGCCTCCCCTTTTATTGCTTCTTGTCCCTCTCAAACCCTAATCGAGTGTGTGTGTCCCATTTGTGTATTTTGAGCTTGGAAGAGGATTTTGTGGAGAAAGGAACTTGGAGAGCAAGTATTCAGAAGCAAGGAGCTTGTGGGATCTGAAATCTACCTTATTGGGCATCTTCTGGAAGGTATAGTCGTTACCTTGACCTCATTTCATTCTAGATCCCCTCTTTGGACAATTCTAGGGTTTTCATGGTATGATTGGAAGCTATTCTTGTGTGCAAGCTAAGATCTGAAGTTGTAACTTCAGAACTGAGCTCCCTTGATCTTCTTAGTCCATAAAGTTTCCAGCTTGTGCAAGAATGAGACTCTCCCAAGGTGCAAAGCTCCATTGGAAGCTTAGATTGGTCATTTAGGGCCTTTAGAGCATTGCATGTGCGTAAAGTTTGCAACTTTACGTAATAAACATGCCTTAGGAGCTTGGATCTGTAATCTGGGACCTTGCCATGGCTTAAAAAGCGTCTGCATGGATGAAGGTCTGCAAGGACTCGGCGAGTTGGAGGAACAACTCGGCGAGCCCGTTGAAGATGGTCATGAACTCGACGAGTTGGATGAACAACTCGGCGAGTCCGTTGAAGATTGCCTTGAACTCGGCGAGTCATTCGAAGACTCGGCGAGTCGACTAGGGTTTCTCCCAATTCTTGGACACGTATGAACTCGGCGAGTTAAAGGGGAACTCGACGAGCCAATCAAGGATTTCACGACTTCTCGAGTTCAGGAAGGACTCGACGAGTCGGTGAACTGCACTCGACGAGTCGAGTCAACATGGGCTGTTGACTTTGACTGTGGACTTTGACTTGGACCAAGGGTTGACCAGTTGACTTCTGAGGGTATTCTGGTAATTCGGAGATTTATGAAAAAGGGGTTTTATGGTATCTATAGGTGGTGGAGTTCGGGTTGGTGATACGGGAGTTGAGCTTTCTAGTTTCAGTCGACAGTTGCAAGGTGAGTTATCCTCACTATACTAAGGGGTCTAAGGCACCAAGGCCGGCCCATTGGATATGATATCCTAGTAGTTGTATTATGTTGAATATGAGTTGGTTATGCATGCTAGTTTGATATGCTAGAGGGTGGGTCTGTAGGACTACCTGTGATACTGATTGATTACCTGTATGTGCATTATCTGTTACATGTTGATATGTTATGTGGGATGGGTTGAGGTTGTACTGTTCCGTGCGGTAGCCAACAAACCCTAGAGTATTCCAGATATGAGCTGAGGGCCCGGTAGACATTCCAGACTCATACTGAGGACTCGGGAGCATTCCAGATACGAGCTGAGGGCCCGGTAGGCATTCCAGACTCGTACTGAGGGCTCGATGGTATTCCAGATACGAGCTGAGGGCCCGATAGGCATTCCAGACTCGTACTGAGGGCCCAGTGGTAATCCAGCTTGTAAAGCTGTGGACCCATTGCATGCTGTTCTGTTCAGTTTGTTATGATATGTTATTGCTGACATGGTTATGTGGACTGTATGTGTATCGGTATTTTGAGGGTAACTCACTAAGCTTTCGAGCTTACAGTTTCAGTTTATTGTTTCAGGTACATCAGGGGATCGTGGCAAGGCGAAGGCATTATCATACAACTCCTCATATTATGTTTATGTTTCTGGGAATACTCTGATAAATAATATTTTGAAAACAAAGTTGTAATGTTTTGATGAACTTGACATGTTTTAAAAGTTTAAAAGTTTAAATTTGTTTGAAATTTTTGGGTTTTAGGTTTTTTCGGTCAGATTTTGGGTATCTTATTGGGTTTACAACAATTCATAACGAATTTTTTTTTCCGGTTTAGGATACCCTGGTGTCTTTTAAAAAAATACATGTTCTAGCCTCCATTTTAAATTAAAAACATGATGCATCACTTTAATAAAGTAAACTAGAAACCACTTGGGTTGTGGTGACTTGGTAAGACATGTGGAATATATGGTGGATAACCTATCGACCCATGTTCAAATCCTGGCACCAGTCAGCCCTTGTGGCCATGGAGGTTCGCCTACAGTCACTCCAGGGCATGAGTCAAAGCCTCATGTTTGCAATGGGAGATTAGTCGGTGCGCGAAAGCTGGCCCGAAAACCCTCGTTAGGGAAGTTACTTTTCCAAAATAAAGTAAACTAGACGTTATATTAAAGACTATTTGATTTAAGTTTAGTGCAATATGTCAAAGCATAAAAAACGATCATTCACACCAAATTGTTAATAATTAAAAGGATTTTCCACTATAAGTATTTTATCTTTTAATGCGTACTATTAACATAAAAATGATTTGGACATTTATGACTAAATAGTTTATTATTATATATATATTAAAGTTCTGAAGAATTTTAACAGTATACTTGGAGAAGATTTGTCTCTTTTGGTCCCTTTAGTTGTTACCTGTAGATCGTTTGTTTATTTGGTCTGTTTATTTCCTTCTTTTTCAGGGGTCCTTTAGGTCATTTTTAAAACTGGAGATGCACATGTAAGTTCTATCTGTACTTCACCGCCCGTGTAATCCAATCGGATTAAGATCAGTGTCATTAGCCAATTTCTTTTTGTCTCTGTTTCCCACCGCTTATTTTAGCTTCTAATCGATCCTTCCAGTTTCAAAAGAAGCGACCGTCTCCCTCTCCGTCACCGGCACCCCAGTTTGCTTTCTAAGGGCGTTGGTCTTGGTGGTGATCAACGAGCAGGGGTCTCTACCGGAACCGCCGTCGTTGACTTCATTATAGTATTCAGTTACGATTTTGTTAGTTGTGCAGATATTAGAAGGAGTCGGAAGGAAAATCAACATTGTTGCTGCCACCAGTCCCGTCTAGCATGTGTTTAACGGAGGTTATTAGGTCAGTGTCAAACATCAGCAGCGAACCCTACATTCATTCAACTGACCGGTTTTGTTCCAATCGATTAGTGCTTCCTCGGTTTTGCGTCGACTGATGCTTCGTCATCTACATCCAACTGAACAGATGTTGTCTCCGGTCTTCAATCTGTAGGGAAAAAATAGGTTACGTCATCAACTACAAATCAGAAACCTGCAACTCTTTTATGGTAAAGTTTTTACTTTTTTATGTTTTGTTATTACTTTTTGTGCAAGGAATATGATCGATACAATCAGGACAACTTGTCTGAGTACCGGATTTTTTTCCCAAGGTAATTTGACAGTTTTCCTCCAATTTGTTTGGTTTCTTGCACGTAAGGTGTTTGACGTATTGTCTCTTTGTGTATTTTTGATTTTTTTGCTACTTCATTATGTTTTCATCAGGGTGTAATCCGGCCAGGATTGGAATGAACAACTAAGAGGGAATGGTTCAACCACTTGGTATTCGTTCCTTTAATCTGTTGATTTTGAGGTTTGTCAATAAATTCTTATATAATTCTGATTTGAAAAAAAAATTATGGAAATAAATATTGAATTAACTTCCAGTTTGTTTCTTTAATCAGTTAATTATCTCATTCACTTCTTAATAATCAATTTTAAGATGCGTTACACTGATCAATAACCCACAAATCGCGACTTTGAAGTCATTAAACGCCTTCACGTTTTACTTTCATACCTTTTACTTTCATATATAATCTTTTGTTTATCAGAAGTAGAATCTGAACAATCTTTGTCTATCCTTTCATTTTGCAGCTTGATTCTTGGAAACTATATCTCCGGTCACAAGGTTGTATATGAGATTCCTTTTTTACCCTTTAACTTTTGTTTTTTGGATTTATATAATCATCCAATTCAATTTCTTATTCAGGGACTTTGAAGCAAACTATATTTTAGGAACCATTCCACCTGAGTTAAGGAGATTATATAATTTAAAACATTTTGTCTCCATCTAGATTACAAGCTTACTTGGTTTGTGATATTGATTTTTAAGAAAATTCAATAATTTTTTGTCACCACCTTTTCTTCACTATTATAGGCAGTGATTTGGGATTTGTTTTGTCAACAAATCCCTAGGAAAATGGATCCATTTCTATGCAGAGAAAAATCATTTCGTGGAGAAGATAAGTGTATGCAATGCTTTGACTGATATTTACTCAAAAAGTGGAAACATCGACAAAGCATGCCATCTGTTCGACAAAATGCATCAAAGAGATGTCGTTTCATGTATTACAATTATACTATGAAGCAAAAAACTCAAGATGGCGCCTTTTCCTGTCATTTAATATGTCATTCCATTATTCAGGTTTGTTAGGAGATTCAAACCGTAAATATTTCTTTATATATCATAAAACATTTGATATTAGTTTTTAGTAAAAATGTTTTTTTAGTGGGAGGCTCTTGCCTGTTAAATATGCATTGAAAAAGTGAATTTCTGTTCTAATTTTATATCATGTTTTTGGATTACAGAATTTGTTTTTGTATGGGTATGGTGCTATATTCAATTTTCTTGGGATACTTGCAACAGTTCTTATCAAAGGTAATTTCTGTCCATTCTTAGGAAGAAACTGCAAAAAAATAGTAAAGGGTAGTGTGGTGTTGGAGCATAATTTTCATTCGAGTTCTTTTGATAAATGTACAAACTAAACAGATAACGACAAAAGAATGGAAGTGAAAGCTTATGTAAAACAATTAATTTATGTCTTAATTTTTTATTTTTTTCAGGTCCTGAATGCTTTCACATTTCACCTTTCTTAAATTTGATTTTTTTTAAAGTTATGTGTCTTCGATGGAAGGTTAACAATAATTGCAGAAAGAAAATATGGATCGACCTCATGTTAGAGCAATTTGGTCCTCATTTTAGTTTTTTTTAACTTTTTTTGTCATGCTCCAAATAAAATGCCTAAATTACCTTTCTATATTTTTTTATAATTACATGTTATAATATAGATAAAGGATGGTATAGTCATTCTACATAAGAAAATTAGATGAAGGGTAATGTAAAATGAAGGGCATTATAGTCATTTTACTTGAAATGATTAGATAATAAGGGCAAGTTCCAACACTAATATACTTAAATATATCATCCGATGTTTATGTTGACCGTAACATTTTTCTTATTTCTCTTAACTGTAATCGATGTTGATGTGAATTGGATTTGACCAGTTTTGTTGACTTTATATTGCAGCAAACTTCGGTGGGAATAGTTGTTAAAATAGAAGATGATGAACATGAATCAGTTTATGGCTTTGTATCTGTTTTAAATTTACAAAGATATAAGGTAAAAATATTCATTCACAAGATTCTTCGTTTATCAAGATTCACATTCCACTTCTCTTTGAAAAATGATTGAGTATATGGTGGTTGTTTAATCCAGGATTGTAATTGCATGATGGAAGTCAAATTGTTTTTTCTATCAAAGTGTCGTTAAAAAGAAATAAAAGAAAATTTAAAATCATATTTAGGGGAAAAAACAGTGGATGTTGATCTTTTGATCTGACAACGTGTTGTAAATCTCCCTCCTCAGTTTCTGCCATCGTTGTATGATGCTATTTTTAATGAAATCTATTTGGCTACAAAAGATGAGGTTAGCTGTTTACTTTACTATAAACTTTTCTGTAAGGGTAAAATGGTCATTTACTCACATACAGACAGACAGTTTATCAAAAAAGAAAGAGATTTGGTTTATACAATACTTACTCTAGATTTTGCGTATACATTCAGTCAGTTTTCCAAAGTAGAAACAAAGAACCAACATTGAAAGATTCCAGAAAAACAACATTGAAGGCTTCTGACCCCGTTTTGACACTTTTCTGGTTTAATATTAAATAAAAGAGTTTTATTTAATGCTATTTTATGTGGTGGACTTTGTCATTAGAAGGACCTTAACGGATTGAAAGCATTATGTAATAGTGTATTTATTTAAGAGCATTTTCAATGATAAGTCTAGATTTTTTTTTTCATATTTAGTCATTTTTCTTTGTATACTATATATCATTTAATTTCTTGAACCGTTTACATATTACCTTTTTACTCATGGTAGCAGGGCACAAAGATAAAATATGAATATATTACCTTTTTACTCATGGTAGCAGGGCACAAAGATAAAATATGAATATGTTCAACAAGTTGGATGGTATATAGTGTACAAAAAATGAAAAGGGACTAAATATGAACAAAATCAATAGTTCATTACCCTCATAAGTCATTTTCCCTTAAGTCTATATTATTGGTCAAAAATATTGTCACCTCACAGTTTTGTTAATATTAACCTCAAATTAAATTGTTTCTCCAATGTTTGATTCTTTTATGATTTTTTTATTAATTCAACTATTTTTTTCTTTATCTATCTGAAATGATATATAAAATCTTTTCGTTTAAGTAATTGTTTTTTAAACACGTAGTTTTTTAATACGATTCACATATTACTATAGTATATATTTATATATTTGTTTATATATAAACTTTTTATAAATAATAAATACTTAAAATTAAATGAAGGGGATAAAATTAAATATTATTAAAAAGAAAGGGGTTGAGTGTTCAAACCATTAAAAAATATTGACCATTCAATATATATTGAGTGGTCAATAAAATTCAATATATATTGAGTGGTCAATAAAATTAGAAAAAAAAAGCCATCTTCTCAAATGATGTTAAGTTACTTTGACCTATCAAAGTTTTCTAAGTCAAAGCATAGCATCCGGGCCAAACAACCCTTCGAGAGGAGTGTTGGCCGCAAACTCGAGTTTACGGCCGTACACCCCCACCCCACCCCCTTGGCCAAAAACTCACCCCTATATAAAGGATGAGTGGCCTTCATTTCACACTTTACACATCCCATAAGCTTTCTCTCTCTACTCTCTCTACAATTTTTGAGTTTTTGCTCAAGGATCTTCAAAATGTAAGTGAATTCTTCACTCCTATTGTGTCTCAATCCCTTTTCTAGTGATGAATCCATGTTTCATCTCATAAATTTCATCTTTTTCTAGATTTTCTCTCTCACCAAGAACACCAAGAACACACACTAGTTCTTGGTTGCTAAAAACCTCATTTCGAGCCTCCTAAGAGTAAGTATCTACCCCTATGCTTGATATCTACTAGAAATCATTGATTATCACCTAAAAATCGACCCAAAACATGAACACGAAATGGGTTTACAGCCGTACTCCCTTCAATGGCCGTAAACTCCCTTTTTGGTCGATTATTGGCCTTTAAACCCTACTTTGAGCCGTGCATAAGGCGTAGAACATTTCCAAGAGGCTAGAAAGGACTCTGGAACCAAAAATCACACCTCTCACCAAGTGTTTACGGCCGTAAACTCATGGGCCGTAAACCCACAGGCCGTAAACCCATGGGCCGTAAACCCATGGACCGCAAACACTTGGGCCGCAAACTCATGGACCGTAAACTCCTGACTACGGCCGCAAACTCCCCATTTTTAATCACGTGTGATTCTAACACTTAGTTTCAAGTGTTTCCTAGTCCCTAAGGTGGGTTCCTTCCATAACAAATAGTGTTATGTCCTCATCTAATACATATATGTGTTACCATATGTTAATAGGATCCACTTGCGTGCGAAACATCAGTTGACACTCAGCATCCACACCGACCTTACGCTCGAATCTTACGAACTGTGAGTTCATACCCCTACGCTTTTTCCGAGTTTTTCATGTTTTCAGGGGGGAATACAAGCAAAAGTACAAGGAAACTTGTGCTCAAAGTATATTATTTTGTATAAGATAATTATATTTTTAGCATGCTTTTAAACACAGAAAACAGTTTTACCAAACGATTAAGAAATCAACTCGTAGAAACAGTTTTCAAACTAAAGCAATGAACTCGTGAAACATTTCGTAAAATGTATATCATACAGATTATAAACGGGATTTTTAGTGTTATTACTTGTAAATTGTTAGTCTAAAGTTGGGGACACGTCATTGGTAACACTCCCACCGAATTCGAGAGTGTAGGACTAGCACTTGTAACCAGAATCTCTTGTAGGGAGAGCGTGACTGTTGTGTATAGATCTATACGGGACTGACTATCCCGCACCTAAACTGCTAGCTACAGTTAGACATACGTGCTTGGGGTGACAAAGTCATAAAAGGATACTGGCCCCGTTACGTGCCATATCAAGTTTAAGTACGGTTATGACACCCACAACCCAGATAACAGGAATTTACTTTTGTAATAATGAATCAAGTGAAGTAACCTCAAAGTAATAAATGATTCGATTACTAGAGGGTATTAATAACACCCTGAGGATTTAGTTCACCACTTATTTGTTAGCTTTATTTATGTAATAAGGCTAATACACCTCACAGGGAGCAAACATGGTTTTTCAAGAAAAGTACGTCTAACGACACAAGTATGGTACATACTTGTACACCTCAGGCAAGAACAGATAACCAACTATCAACTTTTAAGGAAAATATAGGATTTTCCCGGGATAACTCAACCTTTCATAACCAGACTGTTAACAAATAACTAATGGATAATCAAACATTTTTCATAAGACAATATAGGATTTTCTTGGGGAAACACTTTTCAAAGGGGCAAAGAAACATATTTCACCAGAACTAAATACTTATGTAACATCCCAAATTTCAGAAGTATCATCAAAGGGCTCAAAGTGTAATTGAAGGAAGGGACTCGACGAGTAGGCCTTCTTACTCGCCGAGTCGGAGCGGGTTTTGGGTCGCGGAATAAGTGGCCAACTCGCCGAGTCGGAGACTGGGACTCGACGAGTTGGTACTGAAGGGAGAAAACCCTAATCCCGGGGGTTGTGCCCTATATAAAGAATGTTATATCCCTTCCTCAGCCTCCTTACCACTCTTGAGAGCCTGTAAACCCTAGAAATCGAGTGAGCTTCCATTGATAGAGAGGATAGAGCTTTGGAGGAGGAAATCTTGGAAAGGGGCTTGAAGATTAAGAGGCTTGCTGCAAAGGAGTGGTGTAGATCCGGGATCTACTTCAGTTGGAGCTTATATTGGAGGTAAGAATCTGTTGCTTGGGATCTTTTGCATCTAAATCTTTTATCATTGAGATTTGGGGCATTTTTGATATGATTGAGCGCTATTTCGAGTTAGAGGCTTAGATCTGAGGTTGCTACCTCAGATCTAGGCTTGAGATGATCCAAAATGTCATAAAGCTCCCGTCTAAGAGTTGTTGGTGAAGCCCCCTAGTCCTTAACCCTAGCCCTAGAGTGTTTTGGGCCTATATCTCCTTGGTTTCACGTAAAGTTTGCCACTTTATGCGAGGGTTAGACTGTGGAAGAGTGGATCTATGGATTGGAGCCCCTGCATGGTTCGAAAAGCCACTGTATGGATTGAGAACTGGAGAGACTCGGCGAGTCACATGGGTGTACTCGACGAGTTGTATGAACATGTGCATGGACTCGGCGAGTTGGAAGAACAACTCGGCGACTCTGTTGAAGATTGCCTTGGACTCGGCTAGTCCGTTCTTGGACTCGGCGAGTCAGGTCGCAGAACCCCTAACCTCTTCTGGTTAAGACGCAGATCAGTGAGTCGAGGGGTGACTCAGTGAGTTGGACAGGATGGGACTCGGAGATCGTTGGACTCGACGAGTCTTGGGGTGACTCGGCGAGTTGAGTCGTGTTCTAAGAGTTTTCAGAGTATAAGGACTCGACGAGTCAACGGGTTGACTCGACGAGTAGGGTCAGTCAGGAAGTTCGACTTTGGCCTGGACTTTGACTTTGACCTTCAAGGATGTTTTGGTAATTGGTTATTTATGTCAATGGTCAATTGATGGCAATAGGTGTTGGAGTTTGGAGCAGTGCTTCGGGTGTGTGCTTCCGTGGTTCGGTTCTTCATTTCAGGTGAGTTATCCTCACTGTACTCAAGGGTCTAAGGCACCAAGGCCGGCCCTTCGAATTGTTGTTTAGAGCTTGTTATGTTTTGTGATGATATGCTTGCTAGTATCCTGGTAGATAGGATAATGATATGATGATATGCTTGGTTAGCTTAGTATCCTAGAGGATAGGGTAGTTAAGTGATGGCTAGTTCTGTTGGATCAACACCCTGGTAGTTGGGTAGTGGTTATGAGTATAGACCTGTAGTTGGTCTTGCCTTATGTACGCTGGTAGGAGGTTACCTGTGGCTTGTGCTTGTTGATCCGTAGCAGAGGGTATTCCATCCCGGTAGGATGATAGGGCCCTAGTATGTTGATTCTGTAGAATGTTATGTGGTTGCCTGTTATGTATTCATGTTGCTAGTAGATGGGCATTCCAACCCGATGGTTGTGGGCCGAGAGTATTCCATCCCGGTAGGATGATTGGACTCATAATAGGTTGGCATTCCAACCCGATGGTTGAGGGGCCTGGGGTATTCCATCCTGAGGGATGATTGGGCCCATGGTAGTTGCTAGTGTATGATAGGAGGTGGGGCATTCCAACCCGATGGTTGTGGGCCAGGAGTATTCCATCCAGGTAGGATGATTGGACTCATAGTAGATTGGCATTCCAACCCGATGGTTGAGGGGCCTGGGGTATTCCATCTCGCGAGATGATTGGACCCATAGTGGTTGTAGTAGTATGTATAGGTGTATGGGCATTCCAACCCGATGGTTGTGGGCCGAGAGTATTCCATCCCGGTAGGATGATTGGACTCGTAGTATGTTGGCATTCCAACCCGAAGGTTGAGGGCCAGGGGCATTTCAACCGGAAGGTTGATTGGACCCATAGCATGATGTTCTTTGCTGTATGTATGTTTATGTGCGTATGGGTACTTTGGGGGAACTCACTAAGCTTTCGGGCTTACAGTTGTGGTTTATTGTTTCAGGTACTTCAGGAGATCGTGGCAAGGCGAATGCGTGATCGTACCGCTCCTCATGTTTTATGATTTATGTGATATGGTTCTGGGGGATAGTCTGATGTCTAAACTATTTTGAAAACAAGATGTATGAACTTAATGGTTTT